TCTTCTGGGGCCTGAGGCTCTCGCCATGACAATGAGGGTGTGAAAGGCTATAGAAAAAATGTAATTTCAGAAGGACGGTGCCCATGTGAGATGTAGCTCGGTTTTGTGCCCGGCGGCACCGCACAGGGTTTCTACAAGCCCCACCAGACGTGGCTAAAACGGCCAAAACCAGGCAGACACGCGTTTCAGAGTGTTTTGTTCAGGCCATAATGTGTGACTTACTAGAGGAGTCTGTATAAAGGAAACAGCTCTTCAAATACAACATTGTCTTCTGATTTGGGGAAAGATTTGTCATAGAAATCCAGGAGAAAACTCAGCGTATGTTAAATTATCTCACAATGCATTGAATTAAAATGCTCCTATTTATGGTGACCCATTCAAGGGTAATCCTGAAACTGATACCATTTCTATTTTCTCTTATCATAGACAAAGGAAAACATAGGTCAGTGAGCTGATATCCAAAACATTTCTTTTCTTAATTGAATTTCTTGGGGTGACATTGGTCAATAAAACCATACAGGTTTCAAGTGTACAACTCATGAACCAATCACCTGCATGATGCATCGGGCTCAGCACCCAAAGCCAAGTCTCCTTCCACCACCACTGATGCCCCTTTGCATTCCTCCGCCTCCCTCACCCCTTCCCTCTGGCCGTCACCATACTGCTGTCTGTGTCTGTGTTTGTTATTTGCTGAAGCCCTTCACCTTTTTCACACAGCCCCCCAAAGCCCTCCCCTCTAACAGCTGTCATCTGTTCCATGTACCCATGCCTCTCTGTTTCTGTTTTGTTTGTTCATTTATTTTGTTCTTTAGATTTCATCTAAAAGTGAAATCATATGGTACTTGTCCTCTGCCTGACTTATTTTTCTTAGCATAATGCTCTCCAGGTCCATTTATGCTGTTGCAAAGGGTAAGATTTCCTCCTTTTTCACAGCCTAGAAATATTCCATTGTGTAAATGTACCACCACTTTATTATCCACTCATCTACTGATGGGCACCTGGGCTGCTTCCAAATCTTGGCTACCTATATATAAAAAAACCTAAGAGACCAGCCGACCGGCCCATGGCCGACTGGCCATTAGCTATGATGCACAATGACCACCAGGGGGAAGACACTCAACACAGGAGCTGCTAAGCAACAGCAACTTTGCAGGGAATCAGGCCTAAGCCACCAGGCGGACATCCCCCAAGGGGTCCCAGACTGTGAGAGGGTGTAGGCCGGGCTGAGGGAGCCCCCCGCCCCAGTGCAAGAATTTTGTGCACCAGGCCTCTAGTTTTAAATAAAATTATATAACCCACTTTAGATAATTTTGCTCTAAAGTTAATTTTGTTTCTTAATCAAATGCATTTTTACAACATAAAAAGTCCTTTTTGATGGACGTTTTCAAGAAGTTTTTAATTAACATGGTTTGAATTAGCTCAAGATAGAACTTTACAAAATCCAGGCAGCTCTGTTTCAAATCCAGGGAAGGCAGTTGGTGGGTCCTGTGCAAGTCGTCACACATTCTCAGTAACTCTACGCCTTTCCTCCTGTGCATCACCGTGCACCTGTGTACCTGCACATCCCAGGTGAGCTCACCTGTGCTAGTTACTGCTAGGCCCAGCCTGCCTCCCTACTGTCCTCTTTCCCAAACTGGGCAGAGAGGAACAGTAGGGAAAGCATGGGTCTTACATAGAGCAGCTGGGGTTGGGTTCAGTCATGACACTCTCTGATCCAAGAATTGATGAATAATATGAGGATGACTCTTGCCCAACCACCTGCTTCATGTGTTTATAATGAAGAACAATGAGCATATACATGTCAAGTGTTTTCTAAATTTCCACACACTATGCCAATGAATGCATTACTGTAAGGACTGTGGTCCATGCTCACAGTCTTAGCCCAGATTCTATAACCCAAACCTACTCCCAAGTTACAGGCATGTTCAGGAGCCTCAGTTCAGCAATCCAGATGCCTCGGTCTCTAAGACATTCTTGCTGTTTCTCTTGCCGTGAGCTTACTACAATAACTGTAGGTTTGTTCTAATAACCAGGTCCTGCTTTATTCCTGGGAACATTGGAGCCCAAAAAAAATACAAATAAATCAACACAAGGAAGTCTTATCCTTCAGAGTCCTGCTTCAGTGTTCTAACAGCAGTCTACCTCCCCTGGACTTGAGGTCTGCCTTTCTCTCTCTCCCCACCTTAGGAGCTCTGACCTGAATCCATGTCCCACAGACAAGACGCTCCCGACACTTCCATTCCTCCCCAATTCTGCCAGGCTGCCTGGCTTGTTGCCTCACTCTCTAGGTTTTGGCTAAATTTATTTACTTTAGCCATTTAGCAGTGTTTGACTAGAGGTAGCAGATTCTTTTCCAACCATATACAAACTAGAGGCCCAGTGCACAAAAATTTGTGCACTGTGGGGGGGGGGGGGGGGCTCAGCCTGGCCTGTGCCCTCTTGCAGTCTGGGACCCCTCTGGGGATGTCCACCTGTTGGCTTAGGCCCACTCCCCAGGGTAATGGGCCTAACCTGGCAGTCAGACATCCCTCTGGCAGCCCAGGAGCCCTCAGGGGATGTCCACTTGTCAGCAGGGATCAGGCCTAAGCTGCAGTCGGACATCCTTAGCGCTGCTGAGGAGGCGGGAGAGTCTCCCGCCACCACCACTGTGCTGGCAGCTGGCAGCCTGGCTTGTGACTGAGCAGAACTCCCGCTGTGGGAGTGCACTGACCATCAGGGGGCATATCCCACATTAAGCGTTTGCCCCCTGGTGGTCGGTGTGTGTCATAGTGACCAGTCATTCCCAGTCGTTCTGCTGTTAGCATCAATTTGCATATTACCCTTTTATTATATAGGATGGAGCCTTGTGAGGTTGAGTTCTGTGTTCCTTGAGAGAATGAAGCCAGACCTGCACAGCTGTTAGCTGGTCATGGAGGAAGATGCTTCTTCTTCTTCTTCTTCTTCTTTTTTTTATTGATTTCAGAGAGAGAAGGAAAGGATGGGGAAGAGAGAGAGAGAGGCATTAATTTTTTGTTCCACTTAGCTGTATACTCATTGGTTGATTCTTGTATGTGCCCCAACTGGAGATTGAGCCCACAACCTTGACATATCAGGGAGAACTACCCAACCAGGGCAATGGTGCTGCTTTTTGGTTGGGAGGTTAGACAAGGTCTCTCCACAGTCCTAGGTCACCTGTTCACTGAGTTGCCCTCCAGAGACTCGTTTTCCTGCCCTTGGAGTGCCAAACGTGTTTCTTTCAGATGGACACTTTTTTCCCATTGGCTGATTTAATAAATTTCCATTATGTTCTAGTCAGATCTCAAAGACCCAGAAATCTTCGGCCTTTCTTAGTGCCGTGGTTCATCTCTGCCCTAATCATTTAAGTCTTCATTTTAGAGTTAAATTCTCAGAAGATGACCTGGTGGTCTTTCCAAGCATCTGGCAGGTTATTACACTTTTGTTTCCTCCTAGTTTTCTGTCCCCTGCCCCCCGTACTCTAATGGCCATCAACTCAGGAATGAAGACTCTTAAGCCACCAGGAACTACACAGTGAAGTGGTAGCCTTCATTTGTCACCATCCCAGCGAGTCCCTAGGCATGGAGGCTTTGATTCCATTACAGCTTTGCTGATGTGATTCTTTGAGTCTAAAAGTAGAGCCTTGGCCGGGCAGTTGGTTATGGCAGGTTTTGTTCTAGGTCTTATATCTAGGTCTTTGATCCATTTTGAGTTAATTTTTTTAAAAGGTGACGAATCACAATCTAATTTCCTTGTTTTGCATGTGGCTTTCCAATTTTCCCTGCACCATTTATTAAAGAGGTTTTCTTTTCTCCATTGTATGTTTTTTGCTTCTTTGTCAAAAATTATTTGCCCATTTACATGTGTGTTTACTTCTGGGCTCTCAGTGCTATTCCATTGGTCTGTGTGTCTTTTTTATGTCAATATCATGCTGTTTTGGTGATGGTCACTTTGTAACCAGGGAATCTGATACCTCCCGCTTTGTGTTTTTAACATTCAATGAAATGGTATAGGAGGAAAGTACCACAACATAATAAAGGCCATATATCACAAACCCTCAGCCAATATCATATCAATGGTGAAAAACTGAGAGCTTTTCCTCTAAGATCAGCAGCAATACAAGGATGCCCATTCTCATCACTTTTATTCAATATATGTAGTTCTGGAAGTTCTAGCCAGAGCAATCAGGCAAGAGAAAGAAATAAAAGGCATACACATTGGGGAAAAAGTAAAATTGTCCCTTTTTGCAGACAAAATGATTCTTTATATAGAAAACCTAAAGACTCCACCAAAAAAAAATAGTAGAAACAATAAACAAATACAAGTAAAGTTTTAGGATACAAAATCAATGTACAAAAAGCCATTGTGTTTCTATATACTAACAATGAAATTTCAGAAATAGAAATGAAGAGAACAATTCCTTTTGCAATTCCTACAAAAAGAATAAAATACCTAGGAATAAGCTTAACAAAGGATGCGAAGGCCCTGTACATTGAAAACTACACAACATTATTTAAAGAAATGGAAGAAGACACAAAGAAATGGAAAGATAGTCTGTGTTTATGGATTGAAAGAGTCAACATAGTTAAATGGCCATATACCACCAGGACTGTGACTCAGATCAGGGCCCGAGCTGGCTTTTCACCCCGGACACAGATCTGGGAACGCTGCTCACAGCCTCTCTCAGGGAAAGTGCCTGAGGCCCGTCCTGTCGGACAACAGAGGTCCTGAGCATCCCCATTGCTTCCCTAGACAAGAGCTCATGCTGGAAAGTAATTGCCATCTCAGGCATGAAATTCGCTGGACTTTAAAAAAGCATAGCGCGCTCTAAATGCGAACGGCCTCAGGGTTGCCTTCACAGAGCACCTGGAGACCTAGCGTCCCTAAAGACCGAGTGCTCTTTTAGCCTCCCCTCTTGGAGCCTTAGCATCTAACTCACACATGTGCGAGCTACCAGCAACGGGACACAATCGCTGTATTTTAAAATGCTCTTTTTCTTGTCTCAGTTTCTACAGATAAAGTGATCTGAATGAATGAATGAAGCCACGAAGCAGAAAAGAGGCGTTCTGACAACCCTAGAGATGTCAGAGGAGATTCCTTACTGGAGAGCAACATCTTTGGTTCAATTTACATAAAAACCCAAATAAATAAAATGGACAGTATTGTTCAGTCTTAGAAATTCCATTTCTTCTATGTTCTGAGCTGTATAATTGTCAGATTTTTATGGTTTAGATTGTAAATGTGTGTTTCCCTTTGCTAATTATGTTTGGGTTGTTGTTGTTGTTGTTTGTCTTAAAAATCTTAAAATGTGAAGGATATTATGAATGGTAAGGGAGACACTATATACAAATGTATATTTGTAAAAGCTATTTTTATGATTAGCATGTTTCACCATTGATCATATATAAAGTCGGGTGATATTGCAATTCTATGTTTAAAGCTTATTCCCAACAATGTTATGTAAGAAAAGATACATCATATGCTAGTTTTTGTAATTTATTTTTAATTTATAGTTTAAAGTACTTCAGATCATAAGGATAAAATACTTGAAAAGGTTATATTTCTGCCCTATATGCGCACCATTTTTACTCATAAGGAATGCAACTATTTCAGATGTGAGTCAAGAGCTAAAGGTGTCGGCGTGACCTGTGGTTGAGTTCAGCATCCCCCTGCTCTCCTGGATGGGATGACCCTGCTCTCACCCAACCCACGGTCAGGGGCGGGAGAGCCCAGGGCAGGTGTCAGTGTGAGTGCAGGTGAGAATGAGGAGGGATGGTCTCATCTTGGACCCACGCGTGTACCTGAGTGCCAGCATCGTCCATCTCCTGCGACCAGGAGCCCCCTCCCCGAGCATCGCCAGTGTTCTCCGGAGCGAGCTGCTGCCTTGCGCTGTGGAAATGGAAGAGCCCAACCTCACAGCCTGGGAGAGTTCAGCACATAATTTCTTAATAAATTCTGTTTCTTTTCAAACAAAGGTGGTGTGTGGCTTTCCTTTGGGGAGCTCTAAGGTGTAATATTCAGTTTGGGTTCTTAAGTCACTGGAATGCCATGAAGTCAGTGCCATAATGAGAGCAGCATGATTTACTGACACGCAAGCCATGTGCCCCACATGCCCGTGCTCTTCGTGTGGGAACTTGGGGAGCAGGTAGATGTGCCTGGGAGAGGATGCCGATGGGGCGGGCCTCAGTCCTGCCCGGAGTCACACTCTGCTCTCCATTTCTCCAAGGCATGCTTTCTTATCCAAATGTAGAAATGTTAAGAAAGTTATTCAGGATAAGAAAGAAAACTACATTCACATAGGTAGTTACGCCCAACTCGAACTTCACCACTCAACATGCAAGTTTCTCAGGACAGAGCAGAGAGGAGATGTGATGTCACCGGGTCACATGGGAGGAAGGCTCCTGTTTACAGAGACACTGAGCTGATGAGTCAGGTGCTTCCTCTTATCTTCCTTAAGCTAATTTATCATCTTTCTCTATGTCTTTCAAATACCAATAATGAAAATTATACAATTCATCCAACAAATGGTATTACCCAAAATGGAAAGAGTGAAAACATCAATCAGAAACTTGCACACTAGAATTCGGGCCTGGGTTCCAGTTCTCCCCCTGGGAAGGTGTGAAACCCAGAGTGAAGCCTGGAAGACCTGTGGTGCTCCGACCAGGTCCCGAAGCTGGAATGAACATGCGCGAGTTTCTAGAAGAGAAAACCAGCTGAGTGATCTCTTTGCTGCCAAATAGCCCAGTGTTCCAGGAAGGAAGTGTGTCACAGGTGCTGTTAGGAAACACATGTGGGTCCTTTCCCAACACGCTATTTGTCTGTCCTTACAGTAGTAATAAACGATATAACATATAATCTAGCATTATCATAAATTCAGAGACTCATACTTTCCCAGACATTCATTAACTATTCTCACAATGGGATGAAGAGTTAAAATGGGTAGAATTACTCTCTATTATTGGAGTTCACTTTCTCCCATCAGGCCTTGAAGTTGGACACCGTGGGTCTTTCCCTGTATTCATTACCCATCCCTGGCTTCAGCATTTCTTTTGGTGACAAAGGTGGGATAAAATATATGCCAGACCAACCAACTATAGATTATTTGGGATTATAATCCCCAAAGGTTTAGTTTAATAAACTGAAAGGAAGCTTTTAGGAGATAAGGAGGAAAGCATGGACTCCTTCTAACTCCATATAATAACAGTCCCATATAATAACTGCTGTTAACACACTGATTAGGAAAGGTCAAGAGAGGAAATAAGCCAAAGTTCATCCTATTGTGGAGGAAAAGAGGCCGCACACTAAACTGACAAGCTCGGGAGACCTGCATGGCAAGCCCTGCAAACTCAGAGACCTGAAGTAACCACAGAGGATGGTCTGAACACAAAACTTCTTAACAAAAAGCGGGTCATGGTGGGTAGTCATTTCCTCGGCCTCTATGTCCCTTGACAAAGGTTGTCTTTTTGCATCTAAGATAATATACCTTTGGAATATCAGGGTAATTTCCCCTCCAGACCTTCAGGGCGCAGTCTCAGAACAGGAGACCACTGAACCCTCCTTGTTATCTTGGCCCCTGCGCACCATCTCTCTGCTGTAAATGTTATTGCTAACTCTCCCGTGCCCACCAGTGTAAAAGAAGTATGTGTGTCTCCATTGTGTTCTTTATCCAATCCCAGAGATTTCCCCACTTTGCTTTCTCCCACTTCCTCGATCTATCACCATTGGATTTCATGTAACCCCCTAACACCTCCTCCTTTGATTCTAATGTATCAAATAATGTGCAGAACTGCCATTCTCTAGAACATTTTCTCAATCCATTGAAATTTTGCTTCCTGGCAATTGTCAGTTTGGCTTAAATAAACTCATAAATTTTCTATACAGGTTTGGACGTTTCTTACGTCAACACTCTACAGGTCTATTCACCCAACAAACAGTGACTGAGCACCCATCATGTGTCAGGCACTCCTATCGGTCCTTGGGATACACCAGTGAATAAAGGAGTGGAACCCCACCTTGGTGACATTTAAAATCTTGGTATTTCTCTATGACCCAATAGAAAGGTGCTAGTTCACTTCTTTAGCAGTGGTGATGTCATCCTGAGTCTAGCAGAAACTGGTGAGGTGACAATTCTGCTTTCTCCCCTTTGGGAAAAAACTGTGATCATCAGCCCCCCAGGTGTGGACCACTTTCAGGTCAGGACCCAAACCAAGGTCTACCTGCCCAGTGCTGTTGGTGCCAATAGAATGAGACTGAGTTGGGTAAAGCAGAACAGAAATTATATTCCTTGATGAAAAACACTGTGAGCTCATGCTCTCAAGGCACTTCTTCCAACTGGGTGGAGCCGCTGTTTTGGGTGTGGCCATGGCACCTGAAAGATGCTTAGTCATCTTCTTTGCACATGACACCCCACCACCAACTTGGTCTTTGCACTTGGCTCCTCGGTCTTCCTCTTCATTTTGTGTCGGCAAAAGGGTTTCTGTAAGCAAGCTTAATTCATGACATAGTTTAAGTATTGATAAACATTATGGTCTTCTAGATAATAGCCCAGTGACAAGGGCAGGAGGATTGATGAGAAAGTTGCATGGGCATCCATTGCATCTACTTCTGCTCTGAGTAGCCATCTCTTTCTGGTGCATTCTGCACCTTTGACCAGACTAGGATTTTATATTATAGCAATGTGTTTGTGTCATCTCTCCTGGCTAATGCATAACACAACTGCAATCCTACAATGACTAAATGGCTAATAAACATGAGATTGCACATTAAAGTAACACTGAGATTCTGTTTTACAACTATAAAAATAGCAAATATTGAAGCCTTATAATATTCAGTTGTGATTAGGAAGCAGTGGAGGGGGGGGTAAGCTCTTAAATTATGATATTTAAGAACTCCCTTAAAATGCTAATGGGAGTAGAAATTGGCAAACTTTCTGGAAATGAATTTGACAATATATCACAGTATGTTGTAAGAGCATTGGCAAATTAAATAATCATTAAAATTATAATTGTGTAGGACTTCTAATGACATGGTGGAAAGTTTAGGATTAAAGAAGAATAAAAATTATGTATATGAGATTCCTACACTTTTATAAAGAAAAGGATAAAAATTATGTATATGGGATTCCTACACTTTTATAAAGAAAAGGAATTGTGAAATTGTTGTAACTGATTTTTTTCTCCATCTTTACACTTTTCTGAACTTTGAATATATTCAGGTTTTGGTAACTGGAAGAAGGTATTATTTGCAGAAATGTGTGAATCAAGAAGAGATTGGGAGATAATGTATTTTATTTTAAACATGTTGGATTTAAGAGAATATCAACACATCCAATACAAAATTTCTTAGCATAAAGTGGACTAACTAGTATGATGGTGACCAGACCTTAAAAGTGCTGTTTTGGAAGTCATCCATAGAGACATGGTGAAAAGCTGAAGGAATGACTAAAACCCTCAATAATTTGGAACAGAAAATACCAAGGGGCTAGAACCTCTTGAAATCTCACTGGCAGGAGTAGAGAAGGTAGGGAAGTTGGTGAACCACAGTACCCCTACTATAGAAACTTAGCAGGACAAGTTGATTTCACTGTACTGAAAACTGTTGTACTAAACCACAGATGGTCATGTTATAACACCCCTACAATTGCGGTAAGTGATCTATCAAGAAAAATAATCAGCAGACTTCAACAGCTTGCTGTAAAGTGTTGCAAGTATTCCTAAATGTCTGAGATGACGCCTTCCTGAGGTTGGGGACATCACAAAGAATGTTTCCAATTATCACAGATGACAGTGCACTATCCTCCTGGCAGCTCACACCCTCTCTAGGATGATTCATCTTTGACTCTCAGATCTCAGGCTCAATTCCCACTTCTTAATTTCTCTTTGGAAACCAACACCTAGGGTAACATTGAGTAGAAAAAGAAGACCATATTTGCTGGCTAAATGAAGGAGTAGAAGAAGAGGTCAAGAGAATAAATAAAAAATCCATAAAATATGCTAAGTTGACTTATTGGCAATGGAAGAAAGATGAAGTTTTGTTTCCCATGACCTCTCTTGGAAAGACATCTGGATGCACTAACAGCAGCAGTAAAAGGAGAGGGCGCCATTCTGGTAATTCAGACCTCCTAGTCTGTCCAAGAAAAAGTCAAATGAGGGTTCAGCCTCCATATGTCCTTCACACACATACATGCACGCACATGCATGCACACACATGAACAATTTTGTCAAAGAAATCTCTAAAGATCATTTATTAGAAAAATGTCCAAAATTATTAGCTTGTTCCATGTACATACCCAGGTTACGTACCTCCGGGAGGGTCTGGTCTATAGGTGAAACTAGTCCAATGAGAGATATAGTTTCCCTGCCTATTTTGGTCATTTATGAAAAGCCAGATAACCTGAAATCTGCTCAAAATATGCTTTCTGAGCACAGTCCTGCCCACAACTCTGCCCCAGGACCAACAGCTGATGCTGAGCTCCTTTGCAAGTTGTGACCGGAAGCCACCATGGGTTTCGGCGTTCTGACTCCTTGCTGTATATATAATTACTACCACTGGAGCCAGACGAATTGTAAACGTTTAGAACGAACAGGTGTTCAGAGCCCCTTGGTTCTCTCAGCCTCAATCCTCTCTGATCGCCTCCAAACAAAGAGCATCTCTGAGATTAGGTTGGCTCTCAATGTTCTGTTCCAGTGAAAGC